AGGGGGGGGGGGAAATTTTTTTTTTTTTTTTTTTTTTTTTTTTTTTTTTGTCTTCACCAATAGTTTCGCCACTGGCATCGAAGTTTGCCGCTTCATTTTTCTTGACGGAATTGGCTTCAGACATTCAGGTAATTACCTGGAATGTCATAGTGATTAGAAAAAAAAAAGTGTCAAAAGATTAAAAGAAAAAAAATTAGATTTTGAAGTCTTAGGTTTCGGTTCTGGATTTGTGAGTAACTTGTTAGTGAATTGAATAAAACTAAATGACCAGGGTTAAAAACAGGGCCAAATCCATGGGTGCCACTTAGTTCACTTATATTGGAGGGGAGGCTGTTGGGTGGCGGCCTAGATTTGGCCCCGACTTTAAGCCTAGCCAAACGACCCGATTCTAGTGAATTGGATGCAAGTTGTCTAATGCTCTCAGTGATTAGATTTTGTCGTCAAGTTTGTACAATTAGCTCACCTTGCAGGTATACTTATATTGGGACACGTCGTACACGTGTTTCTTTTCATATAAAGGTCCGTTTGATTGTAAAGATATAATTGAATTGTTTAGAAACGAATTTCAAGAAATTGAATTGCCTAGAATTATTTTCCTGGGAATTGTAAATTATTGTGTTTGATTAGTATAATTTTCCACGTGGAAAATGTTGAAATGAAAGTGTTTTTTAATGTTCGTTTGGCTTTGTTTTATATGAAAATTGTCAATTAAAGGAAAATATTTTTTTGCAATAATTCTCAGAATTGGTTTCTATTACCAACAAAAAAAAAAGACGAAAAAAAATAATAATCGCTAAAACAAGGAAAATTCCAAGTTCCAAGAAATTCAAGAAATGCAATTCCATGGAAAATATAAGGTATCAAACACCAAAAGTTGAAATTTTCAATTCCAATTCCATCTTTTTTTTCCATTTCCATGCTATCAAACACTCTCTAACATACTTTATTAGTATTTATTATTATTATTTAAGAATAGTATATTCGAATTCTATAAGCTTGTTTATTAGAAATTTATCCATAGTCGTTAAATTGATATGTTCTTGAAAAAGCACAACTATTCAAATATCAATATTATGTTAGAAAATTATGTGCACCTGAAGAGCATAATTAAATATGATCTAACGTATATTATGGTTTTACTCTAGAAGGATAAATTCGTGTATAATTTTCAATATTTCAGAAGAATATTGATATATTTCTTTTGAAATAGTAATAGTAAAATATAACGTACTCTAGAAGTAATACATATCTACCTCATTGTGTTCTTGAAGAAGCACAACTTTGCAAATATTTACATTCTGCTAAAAAAAATGCTCTCAAAGAGTTTGTGTTTTTAAATAATACTTTGTTATTGTTTCTGATGTAACAAATCATTATTAATATTTCAAAATAATATTAATTGCTCCAGAAGAGCGTGATATTAAGATTTCGATATTCCAGAAACATATCAATCTATTTCTTCGTAAAATCACGAATTAAATTACTTAATTTCTCTACTACCAGTTCATGCATACGTATTTATATATTGATATGCCAGTTAAATTTTACTTGCTCTCGAAGAATATTGTTAAATACGATCTAACTTTAAATTATATTTTTACTCCTGAAGAGTAAATCCTCATATAATTTATTATAATAATATTTGACTACCCCCTGAAAAGCATGAATTGTAATTTGAAAATTATAGCAATATTTAATTGCAGTTGAAAAATATAAATTATAATTTTCAATACTCCAGAAGAATGTTGATGTATTGTTATTAAAGAAATGATTGTAAAATACAATGTGCTCTTGAAATTGCACGTGCTTCGAAGAATATATAATTTTGAATTCATATTCTGAATGAAAATATATAACTAATGTCACGAGAACATTGGTTAGTTTGACTACTCGAATGATATATGGTTATATAAGTTTTAATCATATTCTTCGAATTAAATCATTGAATTATATATTATATTGACACAGAAGTTGAATTGACTTTATTATTTGGCATGATCAGTTGGATCATCACTGAATTAATAATGATGAGAAATTAAATATTCAATGAAAAATCAGAATATTCTTCAACTCAATCTTAAATGATGTTGGTTCTCTTTCATGAAATTTTTTCAGTAACCATCGCTAGCTAAAATAAGGATTAAATTTCCTATATTTCTAAAAATTAATTAGGTGATAAATGAGATCATATCATTCTCCATGTTGATCATCTAAATATTATTTGTATCCAATAGTTTTGATACATATACTATATGATTACATGGTGGTCGTAACATGAAGTTTGTGAAATTATTGTTTAAATTTTAAATTATAAGCATAATTTTTCAGATTATATAATCATGATCGTATCTTGTTAATGCTTATCGGTATAAATCTCAACATTTTAATAAATATTAGTTGTGATGTCGATATATGGATTAACATTGTTGTTTGTTAAGTACCTCCAATTAATTTAATTGAGAACAAAGTATTTTTCATTTTTTTAAGGAATTTTATTAAACATCATGTCAATATCATAGTTTTTCTTGTTATAATTGGCTTACAATCAGAGTCTAATTTTTTCATCTAATTATTTTTATGTTGTAGTATATGTAAAATTGATCCATCATAATGTATTGAGATGGAAAATAAAGAATGATGAGAATAAATGTGTAATTTGAATTCTTATCCTAAATGGGTAATATTTTGTAACGCTAAAAAAATGATTGTCAATTTGATTAGACAGTTCTCTTAGCATTGGGAAGGGAATTAAGAATCTGAAAATAATGTATAAATGCATCATTATCGAAATTATCGGAAAAGATCACTTGAACCAGAAGTTTTAAAGAAATTTATTTAAATGCATTTACTGACCAAAGAAATCAACAATATCTCACGCACCAAATGTGTGTGTGTGTGTGTGTGTGTGTGTGTGTGTGTGGAGAAATAATGAGTTATTAAATAGTATTTTTTTTTTTAGAATATGTGGTTAAAAAGTAAAAAAAACTTTATTAATTTGTATGTAGAGTATTTTATTGTGTGAATGTTTAGTGGAGATAACGATATTGTAACAAACAGTTTAAATTTTTAAAAGATGACAAACATGGCCTTATTGAATATTCGTAATAGATAATGATTGCATTTAATCATTACATATGTCAATACTCTTCTTTTAAACTATTCAAACAATTTGTTTGAGCCCCATTTTACCAAAAACGGATTTTTTTTTAGTTAATTCAGTTTGAACCATTCATTTTTCAATAAAATAATTATACACATAAATCAAATTTTCTTCTTATTTTCTAAATACACATTCTCTCAAAAAATACTATTCTAAAATTCCTTTTTCCCCCTAAATGGGGCCCAAACAAGGTCTTAAGTTGATTGATCAATTGACATATAAAAAATTATTTTAAATAAACATATGAAGAAAATTCAGTATATGTATTTTGAGAAAAACGAAATGAAAAGTCAGAAAGATAGCTTATTAGAAGAGTGTAGAAAAATTGGCACTTTAAATTTAAAGATGCTTTCTACACAAAATGCTTTTTATAAATAAAGAATTTCTCGGATATACTTAAACTAAAGGAAATTGGAACAAGTGGTCCTCCACCTATGGTCTATGTGAGATTTCGATTTTTAATGTCGTTTTTTCTTGTCACGGACGTCCTAACTTGTGGTTTATGTGCACAAATGGTCGTTTTTAACGTTTCTGCCAATTATGACTATTAAGAAGTCAACTTTATCAAATTCAAAGTAGTATTTTGATATAATAATAATAATAATTATTATTATAATAATTGACTTTTAACTGTGAAATTGACATAAACCATTAAGAATACGATCATGCTACATGTACAAACTTTTCTTACAAACTCCCTTACTCAATACTCAGAATGGGATGGGGACCACATGCTATTTTTTAAACTCACGTGGGGTCTGCTAATTTTGTGAGAGTGAGTACACCATTTTATCAACAATATTTTGTACAAATATCTTTATCATTCAAAATATGACATATTTGGGCTAGTTACCGTTTTCCCCAAATTTCCTTTAACTACAAAGCCCTTGTATGATTTCCTTTATTTCAAAACTTACTTTTTTTCCTCTTAAAACTCATTTTTAAACAAATATTCTCACAATAAAATATTTTGTAAGTCCATTTAATATATATTCTTTATTTTTTAACCACATATTCTTAAAAAAATTACTAATATAAAACTCATTTCGATGAAATAAAGGTCCATAAAAAAGTGGCAATAAAATCCAAATTTCAAAGTGCACAAAAAAGGTGCACTTGTCATTTACTAATTCACTGCTATTTTTGTAAATTGAAATTATTGAGACGTGTTCAGCAATCCAGTATTTTCAGCCCAAATAGATTGACACCTTAGGCCCATCAATGGCCCATTCATTTTTCTTCGAATATTTGGCGGGAATTTAGCACGTGCCAATTTTCATTTCTCAAACCTTTCCCAAATATCCATTTCCCGCCCGGGCAACCCCATTCTTACCTTTTCTCTCTTACACACCCTACGCACTTGTAAATCTTCGTTTGGTTCAACAATTTCAGATCTACGTGGTGATGGGGACTCAGCGGACGAATTCAGAACTCAGCCTCCAACTCAGTTGGAGTCAACTCACCACCACCACTGATTCGCAGAAGGCCTGGCACATTTTTGCTGTTTTACTCGCGCATGGGCTCCCGGCCCGGCCGGATGAGCTTACATCTAAATGCGTTCTCTTTGATTCAAGTTCGGTTGAAATTCATTTCCTCTGCTCCATTCCTAACTCTCCTATCAGTTTAACTCCCAATCACTTTGTCACGTTATCGCGGATTGGATTTGCTGCTATTGTGCAATTTGTCTCAAATGCTAATGTAATTTGTACAAATTGGAATTTGATTTCGGAGTTCGTGCCGCGATGGATCGGGATACCAGATATTAGGCCGAATGATACAGTGAGGGCTTATTACAGGAGGAGGAAAAGGCTGAGATCGGATGTTGAGGATTTTTCGGTGGTAAAAAGGAGATGTTTTTTGGAAATTTCAGGTATTTTTCCTTTTAAGTTTCCATTTTATTTTGAGTTGGTGGTTTGAATTTCAGTTTCATTAGGGTTTTATTTTAATATTTATATTTTTCGTTGCAGTTGAGAAGAGTCAGAAGCTGACAGTTACTAATGAGATTGAGAATCCTTCAAGTGAGGTAATTTTGAAGTCTTGAACTTTTATGTGTTAAATTAGCCTCAGTTTGATGCATTTGGATTATCGGGCACTTCATATACATGGATATCGTCTTGGCAGTACTCAACTTAATTTCTTATTAGCAAGAATATAAGGAGTTAGAGACAGCATTGTCTACCAGTCGTATCAATTAATCTGTTATTGGTTACTTTCTCAAAGTTGAAATAGGAAGATAAAGTTAGGTCTCGGTAGCACAAGTCCTTGCAGTGGACAAAGAGAGATTGTGGGAGGTCCTCTTCCTTTACATGATATTATGCCCCTGTTTGTTTCCCTTTTTTTTTTTTCCCATTAAAATGAAAAATATGGCCGTTATCTATCACATCAAGCCACGAAATTTGAATTTTTATCTCTTGTGTGGGCTCATAACGGTTATATTTTTCATTCTCATTTTTATATTAATGTGTACAAAACGGGCTCTATATACACACATGGGCATAACTGTGTGTTGAACTACTTGCATTTTTCCTTCATGAGGCTATTCAAATGAAAAATAAGTTCATAATGTATCATAAACAATCTTCAAAATTCAAAACGGAACATTCTAAGAGGTGTTTGGGAGCTATTTTTATGTAAAAATGTATTTTGAAATAGTAAATTGATGTGAAATGTGTGGTTGAAAAATAAGGAAATTTTTTTGATTTACGTATAATATTATTTTAATAAAAAATGTGTGGTTGAAAAGAAGAGAGAAAAATGCATTTTAGAAAAAAATGGGTACCAAACTGGCCATAAAATGTGCAAACAAACAAATGAAAAATCTATAAAGAAACTATTATTTTAGTTGGTGGGAGCCGTGGACTATTCTTAAAATAAATCTAAAGCCTGATTGGGATTGATTTTTTGACTGTTAGAAGAAAAGTGAGGTCCACTCATGAGAGAAGAAGTCAAATATGACGGCTGGAATAGTGAAATAATAGTAAAAAAATAAATTTTTTAGGGGAAAAAATCACTCCCAAACAGGCTGACTCCCAAACAGGCTGCTATAAGAAACACAACTTTTTAGAGGGTGTTTGGGAGTGATTGTCCAACCCCAAAAAATAATTTTTTGACCATTATTTCACTATTTCAGCCGTAAAGTTTGATTTCTTCTCTTATAGGTGGCCCTCACGTTTCTCCTAAAGGTCAAAAAATCAATTCTTAAAATCACTCCCAAACGGGACCTTGATGTTTTAGTTGACGGCAAGCTATGTTATAATGGGTCAATCAGAACTTTTATATTTGTGGGCCACAAGCCTTAAGGCGGTGCTATGAGGCGTGTCTCCCACAACTGAGGTTTACCCATTCAAAATTTGCCTTACAATCAGCGCTCTGAGTTGTTGATTTTTTTTTTTTTTTTTTTTGGCAAACCTTACTATGAGGCGACCTTAAGGCTGGTTTCAATTGTGCTTTTATATCATGACTACTTAATCTAAAAGTTTAAGATGTAGATAAAGCCACATGTATAATATAAAATATTGTGTTCAACAATTCCCCTCACTTGTAGATAGGTTTAATTGTTTTTCCATCAAAATCTATAGTGTATAATTCATTTAAATTGCTAACAGCAATACTAGAACCACTTTGACTATCATGTTGGTTTACTACTCTTAATAGTTTAAGATGTTAGATAGGACCACATGGATATCATTTAAAATTATCTTCAACACTATGTTTAGAGACTTTGAATTGTAGTAAAGTAGGATTGTTCAGTGAACATTTCGACTTGCCCGAGAGGGAATCTCTCAATACTTGAAAAAGATGTAAAACGTTCATCAAGAGCTTATAAAAGCTTTGCAACAATTTCCTTATTACGTTATGCAAGAAAATAGAAGAAACTAGATAATGCGTGGAGGGTTAAATGGTATACAAATTCTTCATACAAGTTTTCACTTTGAATGAGAAGTTGAATCCTGAGAAAGGTAATTGGACCTAGAAAAAATAGCTACCAATTGGAGTTGGTTTTTGGGATTTTATTCTATTTTGTAACATATGAAAATTTGTGTTATAAAGTGATATGCACAAACCAATTCAAGTGTACAAATTTTTCATACAAATTTTCACTTTGAATGAGAAGTTGAATCCTGAGAAAGGTAATTGGACCTCGAGAAAAATAGCTACCAATTTGAGTTGGTTTTTGGGATTTTATTCTATTTTATAACATGTGAAAAATTGTGTTATAAAGTGATATGCACAAACCAAATCAAATGCCTACATGAGCACCTCGCTATTTTGTTTTGTCTCAGCTTGCTTTAGCCTTCGATGGACTGCATGAGTTGGCAGCTTCTAATAAACCTGTATGCCAATGAAGTTTTATTTTTCCTAACTCATCATTCATTATAATTGGATATCATATACGTTATATAATCTTCAAATTCAAATTTTAAGTGCGTATCCTGCTCATTTTTGGGGTTAGGATTAAACAAATAATTTGTACTACCAAGAGCAATAAATCACACAATATTAAGAAAATGAAAGTAGGTATAACACACGATATAACTGTTGGGGATCCTAGGAGTTCAATCAACCAAAACATCAAACAATAGAAGAAATTCTAAGGCAAAACAATGAAAAAGGGATGGAAAAATGCAACCTGTCTTTGGCCGAAATTTCTGCAGTTTTCCTTCCTCGTTTCAGCAGCTTCTTCTTCTATTTATGGGTGTTTTTCAGGTTCAGGAACAGCCCTCCATGACTTGCAAAATACCTTCCAAGAGAGAGGGGAAAAAATCCGGCAAAGAACCACCACCTTAAGCTAAAACCGAGAGCTCACTTTCTGCTGGAAAAAAAAAACCGAGAGCCCCTTCTTTGAAATGGTAGAGAGAGTTTACATAAGAAGGGGAAGGAAGTAAAGACCATGCCTCTGCCAAAAACGTGGGAAGATCTTATTGTGTCAACATCAATACCATCAAGTCACAACATCTCTCCCAAGATTAAATCTCGGCCGTCGATCTTCATCCAATGGTCCACAAAAAACTAAATAAATGGTGTTAGGTGAACCATATTCTCACAATAACCCGCCTCATTCTCAATCTAAGAGCTATTGCACCAGGTGCTGCTGTCGAAATTGCACTATATTAAAAAATAGGATTACTCTACTATGATACACAATGGAGATGCACCCTAATATTCTTTATATATTTGAAAATATTAAGGCGACCTAATACATGTGCGAATTTTTCAAAGTATCCTTATAACAGTCAAATGATTTCAAACCGTGACCGTCGGGAAAGCTCCACACATCCAACAATGTGCTCTCCCCTCCTTGAGTTTGTTTAATGTACAAGTGATTTTTATATGGGTATCTCTGCCTTCAACGTTCTTTTCTTTGTATCTAAACTTCTTTCGTGCCATATTATATTTTATGTGGCTTGTTTATCATTTATTCTTTATGACATACAATCTTTTCATTTTCATTGGCCTCTCATCCTGTATTATTAAACTAAATCTAAACCTGATTTTCAACGATTTCAACCCAACTGCTTTTGCAGGCTTGCTTTTTGGATGGCAAATTGGGCAAAAGCACGAAGACACCATCCAATATTTTATCAGGCATGGCATGTGATTGCCAAAATCTGGAGAAAATCAAGTCTAAAACTTCCTTTATAGTCGATCCTAATATTGGACAAGGGAATTATGAAATTGACAATATTGAACGTGTACATAAAGAGATAGCAGATAACCGACACAGGAAAGAGCTCGAATGTGTTCATAACTGTAGGTGTCAACCTGATTATCTTTTTTGTGAAAGATTTACACATTTTCTCAAACCAATGGTAGCAGAGAGAACATTGAATCCCACGCCTCGTACAGAGCCCTCATTTCTACCTGCTATTCTTGAAAATCTAGAAGTGAGCAAAGATGGCAAGGTAGATGTTATAAATCCTGCTGGTAATATAAATCTTATTGCAACATCTTGTATAGAAGTAAATCAGAAGATGGCAGTGTTACAACCACAGACTGAGGCCATTGACCATGGTTGTAAGTCAGAATCAGTAAACAAAAAAATTATGAGAAAAATAGCAGAACCATTAAGTGATTCTGGTAGCTACAAAAAAGATAATGAGAATCTGCAGACTGACATAACCAATGCAGATAAATCACCAAAATGTGATATTGGAGAGATCATTACCACCAGGCTCAATAATGTAAAACCAAACCGGCACAAATTGAGAATGGAAATGCCTATACAGAGTCTGAAGCAGTTGGCAAAATCCTCCAAACTGAAATCTGTTCAAAAGGATGCAACAAATTGTGGAGCACAATCCATCTGCAAGAACGTGAAAAATAATAGGAATCTTGATCCCCCTGTGGAGCTTCAGCATTTTAAAAAAGATAAAAAGCAAAGCTCCATTAAACAGAAGGTAAGCTATAACTATGGCCACAATATGAATACTATAGAAAAGTTTGAAATGATGACAGGAAATTGGGAAGTCTGTCTAGATCTCTACATCTCAGCATTTCTACTCGACAGTAATGGTGAAAGTCTCTATAATATTGAAAATCATACCTTAAAAATTAAAGCTGCTGATATATGCATGTTTTGTAGAACCAAATGGAGGAAAAAACATTTCCAGACTTTGAGTCGTTTATTGTTGAAGAAGAAGAGGGTTCAGGTGCGATACCTTTGACGACCTTTGAGTTCTCATCCACATTTTTCTGAAAGTGGGGTCTTTTCACCCGAATTCATTGAACATATCCTCTCTCACAACTGTTTTTGCAGGAGGTTATGGCACAGTTTACAGGGCAAGAAGAAAGACTGATGGTGTGGTATTTGCTATCAAATGTAGGATACTAACTACTTTTCTGTAACCTGTTTTACTGGATTTTAGATTTCACATTATATAAGTTGCATTATTAGGTGTAAAATAAAAAATAAAATAAAAATAAATTGATGATCAGATACTAAATATTACAATTCTCGTGAAGTAAAATATAAGCCCACACTTCATAGTTAGAATTTTTTACTTTCATAGGATTATATCGGGCAGAGAGTAGAAAAGAAAACTGTTGACAGAAGTGATCATTTTCTTGATTCTTGTCCATGAAACTTAACAATACAGTAGAGAGATGCATGCATGGATATACAACATCTTTCGATGGTTCTGGAAGCTAGATTAAGACATTTGGAACATGTCATTTGGAGATAATATTGTTGACTGTTCTCAATAGTCATTATTAAGCCAACTAGTGGAGTGCGTTCGCCAAATAAAAGCTCAACCCCTACAGTTGTCCTGCTTGCTGAAATACGTGTTACCCGTGCTATTCAAACTCAAGTATGGGTGTTGGATACAGATACGGATACAATTTATAGGAGTCAGATCCTTTTTCTTCTAAAACTTAGAATATGAGGATATTTCTTAAAAAATCCAAAATTTGGACACAAGTATGTGTGTACGTCTTACAAACATAAATTTTTTTAGAGTATCATAAACCAAGAAGCTACTAGATCACTCCTTGCATTTTGGTGTGATGAAGGGATTGTAAAATTCGAGCCTTTTTTTTTTTTCATGCTTTTCTCGGAGGAGGTCTAGAGAAAGTTGCAATCACAAGGATTTCCCCAATCTTGCCTTCCCACAAGGAAAAGAGTGAAATTTTTTTTCCTTTCCATAGGACTAGGAGATTGAATCCAGCCTAAGAAGAATTACATACTAATACTTTGGACACTTGGTTTCATGCCTTAAAAATC